CCCCCCCCCCCTCCCACAAAGTGCAAATGTTATACAAGGCTAAGCACTGTAAAACAGCATACTTTTGTTCATTGTGTGGTATTTACTGCTCTGGTATTAGGGCCACATTTTTGTATCAGTCTTCAGCAGGCTCTAAATCTACATCATGAATGTTCATGCTATGTTATATCAGCTGGATAAACCCAAATTATAAAACATTCAAACTCAATCCTTATTTTCAGTGCAGTACCATTAGCTTCCTCCTGCAATTTATGGTCTTCAATAGAAGCACCACAGCCATGAGCATAGTAAAGTAATTAAAATAATTCATCTTCTAAAATCAAATGCTTGTCTCCTTTGATTTGTTTCTTTTTAGTAACTTCTGCACCTAATGTGGTTTGTCTTTCAGTGGTATCCTGATTTATTAGGCATGTTGCTAGTGTTAATAATATAATTCCATATTCTTCAGTAATTTGTTACTTTGTCATTTCCACTTTGGTTTCCTAACAATTTCCATAAATTCCCTTTTAGCACCAGACCCAGCCATGTTCCTGTTTCATACACCTAAGTAATAATAAGAAAAAGTTAATTATACAAGAAAAACAGTGTTGATTTCTTTCAGAATCACGTTAATAAAATAAACTGACCTCTCTTTCCTTCTGGTTCCATGCATTTCATTACTAAACCTATCCAAAGACCTCACATTCATACATCAATTCATGTGGTTGCAAATGTTGTACAGGTGTAAGAACTACGTAAAATGCAATGTCTTACAATTACTTTCCAATTTTAATCAATAAGATTCTTAAAACTTATGAACTTCAAGTTACATTTGTGAAACACAAATTTTCTAAGTTTCATGCAATCCAGAGCAAAATATGAACGCATTAAATTATATGATGTCATATATAATTTCAAATAAGCATTCTTGGGTATTGTTTTACCAAATAAATAAATTACTGTAAATAAATACATGAGTTTTGATTGTTAAATATGGTACTGTACAACAGACAAGACCATTGGGAAACTTCAACATAATATATGAACTAATACATCAAAGAGACTTACATCAGCAGACTTGACTTGTGATTTGTGGTGGGCATGAGGGCCAGTGGACTGCTAGGAACAGCAACATCACTGAGAGGACTATGAGGAGGTGATGCATAAATTGGACTCTGAGGTTCACTCTGTAGAGGACTAAGCAGTTTGCTCAGTGGACGTGTTTTGGTGCCACGAGTACACTGCTGCAGCTGCTGAGTAAATGACAACACAGGACCACCAACCTACACATACAGAAGATAAAAATGAAAACCTATACAGACCAGTACGTCATTATGTGAAATATAACACTGCCTTGTTTAATACCAAGCTACTCTTTATCTAGAAAGCCTGGGACCAAAAGCTTTTCAGATTTTAGATCATTTCATCAATAACCAATTTTTTTAATTGTTTTGTAAACTTCAACAGACATAGGGTGTAATGTTTCTTGAATTTGTTGCATCACCCGGACAAATATTCACATAAAGTTGTGAGGCCTAATATGTCTTGAAACATCTTTGCTTGCCTCCAGATAATTGAAGGGTCCAATAGAGAATTTTCATTTTGATGCTGTCTAATCCATTCGAACAACACATTGTCCAAGTCAAGGAACATCTATTTAAATTCAGACTGGCAAATATTCACATCTGTGATACAAGTTATAACAAAGAATAAACAGTCTTACCTAATCTATGTGAGTGAGATACCCTAGCTGAAGTAAGATCTGTCACGTGGAAATGCACTTTACAAAATCAAGTGACAATCATAACATCACACTAAGCAAATATGCCCTATGTGACTGTTACAGATTGGGGATACACAATGGATGTGCCAGGGTTGTTACTTGTCCATTTCAATGTTCATAACGATAAACAACATGTAACATAACTGCAGTGTAATCCATTACAAGGCTATTTATTATATATCACACTCACCTGTGGTTGATGAGTGTGCTGAAGAGGCATGACAAGATTAGAGGTGCCCCCTGGTTCCTGGGATCTTTGAGAACTTTTGGTGGAGCCAGTGAAATTAGAACTGGATTTGCTATTGCTTGAATTATTCCCTAGTGACACAAAGGAGCGACGCTTGCTGGAGTCTGGTGATTCCACTGGAGAGTATGCATGGCAGGGACCTGGTGGGCACAGAACTGCTGATGATGGTTTTGTTTCTGCTGTAGAACCAGATGTGACTGATGTTGCACTACTGCTTCCTCCTGAAATCATAAAACAGCACAGTGGATATTGATAGAAAAGAATTATTACTATAATGTAAGTAATTTGTATTAAGCCTCATTATACTGTTTTCATTTTTATGTTTTATAAAAGTAATGTTTATTTCTCACACAGATTTTAAAATTATAAGATGATTAGATTTACTTAGTCACATTACTTAATTTAAACATGCATTTTATACCTACCTAAAACTATTGGCTACTAATTTAAAATGCACATATACATGCTAATGTAAAGTATTAAGTAATGATATTTTACTGTACATTGTCTGAAAGTTTATATATGATGATGTAACACTTCTCACCACCATTGATCCCTGGCCGACCCAACTGTTGTTTCTGACTGGCAGAAAATTCTTCCAACAATCTCACGACAGAATCATGGCCACTCTTTGCAGCAACCCTCAATGCATTGCGTCCACAGCGATCTGAGTGGTTAGGATCTGCACCATGAGTTAGTAGGGCTCTCACACAGGCCTCATGGCCTTCTTGTGCAGCTATTCCTGTAGGGAACATGCAAAGACCAACATCATTTCTTAAATGAATTGAAGAAATCAGTATCTTATGTAAGCCAATGTTAATGTATTAGCTGAAAACATAATAATGCATAATACATGGGTCAGCACTATAGACAGGACTAGTGCAGACTAGAAGGGAATACTTCAAAGTACAACCACAGAGCCTCAGAACAAAAAATTTTGTTGTTAAAAAATTGTTAAACACCTATTAATGTAAACGTATTAAAAGACATAACATTATTAACAATTAATTTTCACATACCATTTTATTGATATTCTGCAGGTGTTGAGAGACTTTAAATCTAATTTGGAATCCATTCAACTTTCTCATATCCAGCTGTACATATAATAAATGAAAATAGTAAATACATGTAAGAGGGACTTTTTGCACAATTTCCATGTTTTTTATACTGTGCATGTTGTAACAAAATGTCTGATACATTGCATAACCAAGGGTTATATTTATGGGGTGTTCCTGTTTTGTTCTAGCAATGTAAACTTTACTCATTAGTAACAACCAAACTTTTTCATCATAACTATGCAAGGAGATGGAAACTATTTATTTTAACCTTTGCATTGTTGTTTTAGAATGAAAAAGAGTAAAAGAAAGATAAGATACATAATTATTAGATGGCAAAAATCTTCAGTATTTCTTGAGGGACAAATGGTAAAATTACACAGGAAAAGTATAACATTTATATGACAATAAAACATCAGTCATATCACATTTACCAAGTTTCAATTCATATTAATGTCAGATATGTTACACCCATCTTATTTTCATTATAATTCAAGAATATAAGCCAATTTTTGCTCCAAGATGAGCCAGACATGAACAATATATTGTAGATATGCACAAAGACACAACATCCACTTTATTATCAACTTTAACTTGGCATGCCATCTTACCTAGAGCAGTAGCCCCCTGATTGCAAGTATGATCTGGCCTTGCACCATGTTCCAGGAGTAACCTCACAATAGATGCATGACCCTGCCATGATGCAGAATGAAGTGCTGTCCGATTTTCATTATCTGTTGCATTTACATCTGCACTACCAATGGTAAGTAATAATGCCACCATATCCACATGTCCCTGCCATGCACTAACATGCAAAGGAGTTCTGCCCTGTAATACATCATCATGGATCAGTCCATTAGTTCTGAAAACTAACCACAGTAAGCAATAAAAAGGAGTATTTAATAATCTAAAGAAGTAACAAGGAGTGAAAACATGTGTTCATACTAGTTTGGCATTACTGACTGATTTCACTCAAGGATTTTCCTTTAAATTTGATATTTACTTACCAGGAATAATTTCCTTGCTTTAATAAAAATAAAAGGACCTATACCATGCTCAGAAAAGCACATCAGTGGACCGTATTTTAAGCCAGTTTAATCCAGTCTAAAAGGCACAGCTTAATTCTCTTAAGATGTACTTTAAAATTCTTCCTCACAAAACAATGTATCGCAAGATCCCTTGAAACTTTCCAGCTACAATTTTGTATACATTTCTCATTTTCTACCTGCACACTAAATGTCCATGCCAACTCTTTTTCGAGTTGATCATTGCATGCAGAACTGAAATTAATGTTCTCCATTATGTAATTTTTTTCACCCTCCTGTAACTTCCTATTTTTTATATTGCACCCTGTCCATCCAAGCACCACAATACAAAAACAAGTAAGGAGCATGGGTTACTAGATGTATCTGAAAGGCCATCTTCAAGATCAATTACAAGGATTTATTTCATTATCAGTTGTTTGTCCACAGGGAGTAAGTTCCTGCTACCAGCTGGGTAAGGTCATAAGTGTGTGTCAGAGCTGTTGTATGTGCAAAGACAAAAATCCCAATGCCACTACTGATATTTGAAGAACAGCTGTCCAACCCATGGGAAGCCACTTATACGAACTAAATTATAGTACCAAAGTGACATACATGTGTAAGTGGTGGTGGCTGAAACAGAACCAATAAAAGTGAATATACCAGGATGCTACAACAGAGAGAATGGTTATCCCTGAGTTAAGTTATGAAAGAACAGAATAAAATTCTTTCCCAGAATAACACTTCCTCCAGATACTATCAGGTCACACAGAAGGGCCACTTTTATCATCTTTCTCTCTGTTGTCCCAGCTTTCCCTTGTGGTACCCCAACACGGATTGTTTCTTATTGGCCTGGACAAAGCTCCATCTCCCTCTTCATCCCATACCTCTGGCCAGACCCCATGGCCTGATCCATCTCCTACCCATAAGCGTTACAACACTCCTCATTTCAGCCCTGCTGATGGAGGCTGTGTGCTCTTCTAATCTGTTGGCACACAGCCAAAATACTACTTGGCACACTAACCCAAAAGATCACCTCTCATAACCTGACAAATGACTGACTAGGTAAGTACGTATATAAGAAACTATCATCATTGTAAATAATTACCAAGTCCTTCTCACACCCTTAAAGCCTGTTCCTCATTACACACTTTATACACATTTCTATGGTTTTTATGTAATCATAAACCTAACCCTACCTCAGAATCTCTGCTTTCAATATCAGCTCCTCCTTCCTCAAGAACAAATCTGGCCATTGCGAGACGATTCTCTAATGCCAAGACATACAGTGTACTCCTTCCATCTGCATCCCTCATGTTCACATCAGCACCATGTCTGAGAAGGTTCTGGACAACCTCACAGTGTCCCTCAATAGCTGCCACTCTAAATACAATAAAGCAATACTTGAACAAAACTAATGGACAAGAACAGTACACAATGGGTAGCTTTGGACATGAAAACAAAGCCATGACATTATTTGGAATACAGGATGAGGTAAAGGGGAGAACAGAAATAGTCCAAAGACAAAATCCAAAACAAAAGGGCATGGGATGAGTGGAAATGAATTTTTAAAATGATGGCATACAAAATTTCACAGATGATGATAATGATGCCAAATTCGTGGGTTATTTTACACAGCTGTATCAAGTGCTTAGGTTAAGTAACATCAAGTAAGACATGGAAGGATGATAGTGTATACTGAATCAGGAAGGATGTGGGAAAAATGGTTGTGGCCTACTGTGGTGTAATATCTTTGCATTTTATTTTAAGGCTTTGTCTCTTCTTCATAGCAGTTTAATATCCCTTCTTGGTTTGCTGAATCAATTACAGCTTAGCCACAGCCCCCCTCTGGCTGGATTTTGACAAGGTACTTTGACAGTGCCAAGAGCTACGTCCATTACTTAATTCAGCATCAGGCACTCCCTACCTCAAGTGCCACTCCCCTGCCATTATGAAGTCATTATGTAGGATTCTGTTAAAAGTTCATCAGATCAAGGATAAAAATAGGATTCCTATGAGGGCACAAAATACAAGGTTTTATATAAATAAGCAATGGGATAATTAAGGACTATGTGGAGAAGAAGAGAGCACCATCAGCCAGTGTTCATGCCTCCTGACCATTTACACACACATGCACGTACGTGTATATGTGCATTCATGTGCACATGCACACACACACTGTTTCTAAAATGGCCTCAAAGAGGACAGTAAAGGAAATTTGTCTTTCAGGGTGAAGAGGCCAAGTGTAGAGACATATTAGGGCTATTAAGATGAATCACATTTAGGGCCTGTTCCGGTCAAAGGAGTAGAAACCATTAAAAACAGTTCCCATGGAAGTTGAAGCAGGCATACATTCATGCACCATCCAATGGATCCCTTTCAGGAAAAAGAAAAAAAAAACTTTTTGGAGTGTTAATCAAACCACTGTACCACTGCTTCCTTGACATCTTTGTTCAAACTAGAACTACAGCCCTTTAGCACTGGGGACATGAACACATGTAAATTAAAGGCGAGAGGTCCAGGCTGTATGGCAGATGGCCTTCCAGTGCAGTGTGTCCTGGACACTGCAGGCTGGCCACATGGGCACGGGCATTATTGCGCAACATGCCATTCCTCATGACTATGCAGGGATGCTTTTGCTTGATGACAGTGGCTTGGACCATGCATTTGACACTAAAGAAAGTGCTGAAAAGTTGTACATTCAGGTTGGATGAAGACATGGTGCAATGGTTAAAGCAGCAGCTAAGGGAGTTGTATGTGGAGGGGTTTTGTTTTGCTGGCTTGTAAATGGGATGTCTGCCTAAATACCCATGGGAACTATTTTTAATGGTTTATACTCTCTTACCCAGAACAATTCTCAGACTGGTTTCATAAGAACCACCCTCATACCAAACAGAGTAAGGAAAGTGTTGATACAGTTACAGGAGAAGACCTTATGCGAGGAAAGGATACATGCTAACACAATATTCCTTACCTGAGGGCTGTTTTACCATCATGGGCCCGCTGGTCTGGTGGCGCACCACGTTCAGCAAGGAGCATGTGCACAAGTTGCATGTGACCTTCCTGCGCAGCCAGCATTAAAGGTCCCTTGCCATCATTATCAGCCTCATCCACACGTGCACCAGCTTCTAAGAGGGCTGCACAAACCTCAGCATGCCCTTCAAATGCTGCATAATGTAATGGTGTCCAGCCTGAGTTGTCACGGTGTTGCTCATCCAGTCCTTAAGAAGAAGAATGGGAACTTGTACACCAATAAAGAACACAAATTCTCCGAAAGCTTTCTTTACTATTTTTCTACCTCAGTGCCCTTGATGTTCATTTATTAGAAATAGAAATCTAGTGATGCAAATTAATTTCAGCATCAATTCTTTTTAAAATAAAAGTTGTAGCTCTTAATAAGATATGTATCTTGTCATCTAATAAATGTTTAACATTATATGCTGTTTCTAAGAGAAATTAATAAGTTTAATGTAAAAAGTACAAGTCATACTGGACCAATACAAACCAAAATGACAATTCTGGATCCATGATACTACATTTTATAAAAATTCATTAAGTAGTTTACCAATCCAGAAGACAGCCATTTCAAACTCGCCATGAGAACCTCAAATCCTACATAACCAACAGTTACTTCATATGTTCTGCAAAATATTAGTTGAGTCAAACTAACACAAGTGTAGGAGCATTTCATCAGGACATCAAGACAAACTCTAATGGCAAGTATGTGTGAACCTTTGGGTAACAAACAGGAAATTTCTTGACCAAGTGAATAATTACCACACCGTTTCAATTAGTTAGTTAAATAAATACTATCCTTTCTTACATGTAAGGATGATTCAAAACAAAACAGCCTGATAACCATTACCTCTCTCAAGTAGTTGACTGACAGCTAAGTAACTATCAAGTTTGCAAGAAGATATAGCACCACGAAGTTTGTTGATAGTTCTTATACATAACTACAATATACACCACCAATGCTTGATGGACCATTCATTACCTCTATCAAGCAGCTGACTGACAACATCTGTTCCGCCTTGTGCAGCTGCAACACTCAATACTGTTCGCCCCTCTGGGTCAATGCTATCCACATAACAGCCCCAGAACAGCAGCAGTTCAACAACACTTGAGTGTCCCATTGAAGAAGCAGCCCACAATGGTGTTCTGCCCCCACGGTCTGCATGGTCCACATCAGCTTCATACTCCAAGAGCAATTCACAAACATCCCTGAACAAGTGAAAGAGTACGTTGTAAAATGCCACTAAACCAGTTAAATTGGGGGAAAATCCATGAGAAATGCAAAGTTTGGTCAGCAACACTGAAAGGTAAAGACATCTTCGGAGACCAAGGGTGCAGTGTTCACATTTATAATGTTAGCCAAGCTAACACAATTAACCTGAATGATCAAACCCTGTGGGAGACCTAGGCATATGGAGGATAATATTAAAATGGGCCTTAAATAAACCGTGTATGATGGTGTGGACTGGATCCATCAGGATCAGGATAGGAACCAATGGCAGGTCCTTGTGAACATGGTAAAAAGTCTTTGTCATAAAAAGAGAGAATTTTTTGACTAAATAAGATATGGAGAAAATGAGTGGTTTGCTCTTTCTTAGCTTACATAATGGTACTTACTAAAGTGCAAACATTACCAGCATATGGCACAAAAAGGGGGATTACTTCAGATGATGAAGTAAAATGGATGGGGAAGGAAGCAGGTATGGCTTATTCTAACCCTACAGCTGTGCATTCTGTCAGATGAGCACATGTACCTTACCAAACACTTTGAAATTTTACTTTAGTCTACAATGAAGAATAACCCACTTTTACTATGAAATTTGGCTTTAGTCTCAAAGTTATTATAAACACTCTCTTGTTGGTCTGTATAGTGCTGCCATCTAGTTTGTAGTCTTTGAGGTTATAAATAAATGTCACAAGTCTGCATGCTTTTTCAAAGTTTCATGTTTTGAGCATGATTCTGACACCTGTAGTATTGTTTTCCATTTTCAGCAGTTGTAAAATTGTAAGACAGTGTTCTGCAAATATAATATGAAGCATATAATAATATTAGTGATTTTTATTTATATATGTACACAATAATATCAGATTTTTGCCTTACAACTATACTATTTGAGCAGTTAGGGCTAAGAAACCATTCCTGAAATTTCCTGGAGAAACTGAGAAAAACTAGAAAAAGCACCTTGTATTTCTGAAACTGAACATGATATTTCTGGAATATGAAACAAGTTTTAACCACTCAACAGTGATGTTCGGGTAAGTGGCAAGTCAGGTGAATATATGAAGGAAGTAGCACTGGCCTACCTTAACATTATCATTGCCATTCAGATTGCAAGACATGTGCAAAGTGAGTCAGGGTATGTATGAAATATAACCGGATTGTTATGCACTGAGAGAGACGTGGAAGTCTATTTTAATGTATTATCTCAAAAGTGAGGAAAATCACAAAAGATCTGAGTAATGATGGCTGATTCTGACTCAGATTCCTATCCACATGTGTGATATGTTACAACCTCCTCTGTTTCATTAATGTATTATACCTATGTCCTTCAAATGCTGCAACCAACAGTGGTGTCATTCCATCCTTATCCTGATGATCGACTGCAGCCCCTCGTTCAAGGAGAATGTTTACAACCTGTTAACAGATCAGATATAAAAAGAAAACACAATCAACTGAAATTACCTCAAATATTTGTGTGGCATCTGACGCCACCACCTACAGTTTCTATGTCTTAACATATTTACAAATAAAATAAAATTGCCACCATGAGAAATTAACCTTAACCTCTCTGACAAGGCAATCCAGTCAACTGAAACTCTCTAATTCAGCTCTGGTTTTGCAATACGGCAGTGGACGCTTCTGACTTCCTAGTCAAAACATTGTGTTGACACTCCACTGTTTCTTTGTAACACCCAATTTTATTTTCCACCATCTTCTCTGTTACTTCATATATCTCATGAAAGGAGGCCTGCGTATGTTGTCCGTGATAGTTGGGTCAGTAATATGTTTGCCTGTGGTTCTAGTAGCTGGGGTTCAATATCCAAATTACTCTGTTCAACACTGCATGGAAAATTTAATAAAAACCCAGACAGGACAAATAATCACATGTTTTGAAAGTCATCAGGGATTTTGGCTCCCTCAACAACATCCAGCACATATTTTACTGCCTGTAAATTATACACAAGCCTTTTGGCAGTACATTCCATACACCCAGAGCATCTCTAAAGGTTTAGCATGTGTTGATAACTATGAATAAATATGATTCTTTTTATAAACTATGACTTGAACATATGTATGTATCATTATGTTTAATAATTTGGGATTTTCAATAATTCAGAGTTAGATAGGTTTTACTGTATTGTCAAACACATTCTAAACAATTTGTTATTCTCTGCACTTAAGCTTTAGGCTTCATGTATGTTTTATAAAACCACTATTAGCTGTTCCCTATCAACACATATTTCATACAGCCAGTAAATCTACAACTGTCAACAGTCTTTAAGAGCATGCTACACGTGTTTGAGAAGTGAATGCAACAATAACATGCTGTTATGTTCAGGAGTCTGACAATCTAAAACTAAAGGTAAGACTGTTGTTGTTGTTGATGATGATGATGATGATGATGATGCTGTAAGTCCGTCGAAACAAAAAGAAAATGTTAAAGGTGACACTGATGAAAGTAGAGGTCCATAAGATGTACAGTATAATATTTTCCATGTGTTGAACGTGGGTAAGTTGTGTTTGAGAAAGTGATACTTTGTGAAACACTTTTAATTTTGTACACAAACTGTTCACTAAAGTCTCCATAATGCTCTGAAAGATGAAACAACTTTTGACTCTCTTAACTTCCTTTTCCTCTTCCTATTCCTTTTTCTATTCCTCCATAACTTAGTTAATAACTTCTTTTTTTGTCCAGGTGCATGATGTTTCAGCTTTTTTACTGACATCTGTCCATAAATGAACTACAAGCTTTCAAGCCCTAAGAAGAAAAGAAAACAGCACTCTAAAGTACAAGAGCCAGAGAAATACGAAACTGCATCCCAATGTGAATGGTTTAATTATCTACCAGTGTACAAAGAGAAGTCACATACTTTGGCATATCCTTCATTTGCTGGTACACAAAGAGCTGCCACACTGAGTGCTGTTCTTCCATCAGCATCTTCATGATTGATCTCTGCACCAAAATCCAGAAGGTGTTCCACTATCTCTGAATGCCCCATATAAGCAGCAGCTATAAGTGCTGTGCGGCCCTCATCATCTGTTCGGTTTACATCTGCGCCATGACGAAGGAGTGCTAACACAATGTCTTCGTGGCCACCCCAAGCAGCTGCCCGTAGAGCTGTACGCTGGTCAGAGTCTGCACAGTCCACAATTGCTCCATGTTCTAGCAGAGATTCCACTACCTACAAACCCACAAACCCACAAAAACAAAATGCTAAAACCTGTATGGTGTTTCTGGGAAGTGGATGTTCAATGTATTTCCCTCCAGATTTAGTGTGTAATGAGTGTATCTATTGCTTCTTTGATCTGTCACAGTCAGTAGAAAATATATCTATGATTT